AAACTTGTCCGCAACTTTCAACTCGGGAACCAAAAAAGCTAGGAAGCTGAAAATTTAGGGTAATAATCCCTTGCCCACGCTCAACCTTGCCTATTCGGATTCAGCGTTCTCTCGCTGTTGAGTATCAACTACGGCCTCGTGAGAATTGGCGGTTAAACTGTTAACTCGGGAATCACGGAAAGATATTCACCCTTTAAGGTTTCGAATTTAGCTTCCGTGCACTGGTGATTTAAATATTTTCCAACTTTGGAACTATTTTTGCATAGGCAAAAGTACGAAGCAGTGAAAATCATTAATTGGCAATCGTTCGATGGGCTGAATTGCACAAAACGCATGATCACACCGGCTAGTCTGATGCGAGTTGCTATTTATTTTAACTCCTCTTCTCACCTGTTTTGCTTTCCTGCAATAAGTGATGCGTCAGATCGTTAGTAATTTTAGTTGATTGATTCTAATTTCACAGAAATTTGCCCTCCGAATGCTTCATAAAAATCCTTACCAGTTGTAAGATTTACATTTCAGGATAACGTTGAAAGAGCTGATTTCGTCTGGTAAAGGCGGAACAGTGGTGGGAATGTTAACAGATCTGGATGCATTCTTTGAATATGAAAATCGCGAAGAGCACATTTTTGATGAATGAACGATCCAATAAAATTCCTGAATCAGCGGTTACATGCGAGCCTTCGACGAAGAAAATTTATCTACGTTTTGGCGTTTAACATTTGGAAGATGTATGTGGTGTTTTGGTTGTACGTCTGTGTAGCACTATGACCATTTTTTTTACTAGCAGTTGTTGAAGTTCTAGTATTTTTCTTCTGTTTTCTTGTTCTTTTAGTGGATTTCCCATTTATTCTGTTGAATTTTTTACCGCTTGGCCTTTCTCCATGCATTTTCGGCATTGTTGCTTGCCCTCCTGTGTTGATACAAGTTGATTACGTTGCTACCGAATATACTTGGAGTCCACTTATGAGATACTCGCATTGGCGGATCCAGGTCAGGGGCGAGAAAGGGATGGAGGCGAGGGGCCTTTCGGCTTAGGTAGCAGTTGTTTTACTGTACAAAAGCCTGTTCGGTATCCCCAAGAGTCTTCCAGTTTCAGTTTAGTGTCCACTGACGCGGGGGGGGAGGGGGGGTTGCAGTGACGAAGGGAGAAGAGCGAGGTAAAAAATTCCGTCTCCTCCGCCTTACCCTAAAAGATCGCCCTGGATCTGCCTATAAATACTTGGCACTGGATCTTGGTTTGTTTATTGCCTACTTGATTATCGAAATAAGTCTGATTAATGGATTAGGATCACTAGTCGATCAGTCGGAGCGATAAGAACTTTAAAAGATTTTTAAGGCTTTTAGCTGACATTGATTTGCCCAGCCAACTTCTTTTTATTGTATATTTGGCATGTCTAATACAAATATTAAGTCTTTTTATATATTTCCAGTTTAAGTTCGTGTGGAATTCTGGGCAGAGTTGTTTTTTTTAACCCCGCGCATGTTCACGTATGTATATATAGCAAGTTGAGATATGCAGACTGAGT